ACCCTTTGGGCAGCAACATTTGGAACAGCAATCAATATATTTGAAATGCTGTAAGTGCCTGATGTTTGGACATGTAGAAACTGCTGAAAACAAGTCAAAAATTTCCAGAGGAAATGGAGCAAGAGTCTTTGAGAGACTGGATTTACCCATCAGCTTGAATCATGGCTAATTGAATAAATCATAGTTGGCTGGGTGTACTCAAGATTCTGAGCTATAAACCGTGGCTTACAAACAACCATACTTGTTCCTGGAATGCCTGGGAAGACCCCATCTTTTGATAGGGTTAAGCATAGTTTATTAAGTGATTCATCATTCATTCATTCAATGCAAAGCTTAGATTTAAATAATAGTGGCTCGAGTCACAGAGCATGCTGTATTATTCTGTGTTATAGTATATCTGGAAAGATAATATGCTTGTCTTAAGATATAAAGAAGGATTTTATGATGGTATTCTTGGGAACTGATTAAAGCAAGGCAAAATGGGTTGAGCAATATAGAATTGTAGAGTTGGAAGGAACTACAAAGATCAACTAGTCCTGAGTTCCCTGAAAATGTCATAAAAATTAATATTTTTGAATGTCCCAGGACTGATAGATTCTCCTTCTCTTCTATCACTCATTACTCATCTGTCTGCATTTCTGAGCCTGTTGGAATGAAAACCCAATTCACTCTAAAAATTAAAGAAGGCAATATTCACTGTCTTCTGGTTGTGCCCAGTTAAAACACAATCTTTCACAAGATGGTTAAAGAACTCTTTAGCCATTTTCCTCTCGCCCTTCCCCTCAACCCCTGTGATTTATACACTCTGCCTAACTTTGGGAATATCGAGGTCATAAGGAATGGACACATGCATGCAGACACTTTGCACTTCTCTGCCGGACTCCTTATGGAAGACTAGTGATTTTGTTGTTTCTGTAGCTCATCTCATGACAACAAGTCACAGTCTGCCTTCTGGAGTCTGGCCATTGCCTCAGTGATGACACAAAAAGGATCAACTCTGGTGGTTCCCTTCATCTTCGTTGTCAACCCACAGAGAAGATGGATAGAGTATTTAAGGGTGCTGGAGAATACTATCCAATCCTGTTTCCAATCACCTCCATTGTTGCTTTTGTGGCTGTTTGAAAGGAAAGCAATAGGAGGGCAGGTTTGAAATGCCTTTTCCCTACTACTAACAGAAGAAATCAGAATACCTTCCAACTAGCTTCAATACCACATGGTCCCAAGACTGCGTTGGCAACAAGAAATGCTTATACCGCTGTTTTGAACTGGATCTGAAAAGAAATGGGAAGCCAGGACAGTGAATGTAAGACTGGTGTGATAAATTCTGTAAGACACATCTTATGAAACAATCTGCTTCAGTGCTTAAAAAGTGCCTAGCTGCAGTTTCCAAACAGTCTTCAAGGGCAACCATACAAGCTGTGCATTGCAGTAGTGTATATGATAAATGATGGATCACTGAAGCACCTCACTCACTGTAGCCAAAATTGCCTTCTCTAAGAAAGTGTGCAACTGGAACACCAGACAAGGTTGTGCAAATGCTTTTCTGGTAAGACTAGAAACACCTCAAGATGAGAACAGCAGTGAATTTAAAAGCTGGCTTATGCATATATCAGGAGATATGGCTAAAGCGGTTTTCGAAATAAGAATAGGATTGGAAATATACACATACTTGCTGGCTGTGTTTACACAGCACACATAACCAGATCAGGTAAGATTTAGCAGACGAATTCATTCAACTTGCTAAGCTTCATTAGTATTAACTGTTTTGGTGTCCTAATTAGATACCTTAATGGTTCAATATATTGGACACCCGGAAAATCGATTAACTCAAAAAACAGGCTAAGAATGCCATATGAAGTCTAGTTAAGGCATGGCACAAGTTAAGGCTAGCTGTGTTCACTGGACATGGTTGACCAAGTCGTCCCCTTCCTTGATCAAGTTACACATCGCTAGGCACCAGCAGCACACAATCTGGGATCACTGTCACTTTTTAAGTCCTTCCACCTGCCGCAAAGGAGGCTGAGAGGTTCACACCACTTTCCGACCAGAGAAATAAATAAATAAATCCACAAATAACTACATATCCCACTCCCTTCTACCCCTTTTTCTTTTCATCTCCAGAGGTGACAATTAAAAAGGCAAGAGAGACAGAGTGCCTAGGAAGAGCCCATTTTTAAAAGGCCTTTTTAGAATTTTGTCTCAGACGGAGAATATTAAGGTTAACCCCTCCCTTCAGTAAACCTTCCAAGTGCCATGGTTGACCAGTCATGATGTTAGCTTAGAACAGGCTTGGGGCTGTTTAGACTAAAACTAACCCCCAAAATTTGTCTGGGATAGGTATGTTGGAATGATACTCTATCACTTCCCATATCCCAGTTGAACCTGATGCATGAAGGTATCGCAAACTTTATTAAAAGCGCTGCTTCTTTGTTTGATGAATGTATCAGTGAACTTCTCTCCCGCCATACATTATCTGAGCAGAGAGAAGAGGTTGGTCAGGTGGTATTGTTCTCCTCACAGCCTTTTGCAACCGTCAGTCTTCCTGTCAGCCCATCACCAATGAAATCAGCAGGAGTCTGTCCTTGTTAGAAATCTTATTTGCACAAGAGGAGAGTGCAAATTACCATCTCTCTCTTCAACCCCGGACTTCCAGGGGGTTGAAGGACAAGAGGGAAAGATGCAAGTTAAAAATGCTGCCATGCTGGGACTCTTCCAAGATTAATGAGACGTGACCAGGAGAAAGAATAGGGAAAGGCGGGCATGAAGAAAGACAAATTCCAGGCGCTGTCTTTCTTGCATAATCATAGTAAATACAGAAATAACAATGTTGTTGAATATGAAATTTACAAAAGAGTTGCAGCTTTATGATAGCATACTTTGAACACACGATCCCACACGCAGGCTGTCTTTTTAACTCCCTGAGTGCTGCTATCAGTCAATGTAAATGAAAACTCTAAACGAACCCCTGGTCTGAATCTTTGCCTGCATTCACACAACAGATCTTTTAAACCATTTTTTTCCCATTTTCGCAGTGCATCGAATCATAAACTAACCAAAGAGGGTAGGTTTGCAAACCCCTCCAGCACAAACCAAGATTATCACTAAAGAAACATTGTGCAAGTTAAAAATTGATATTATCATGCTAGGTTAGTATGTTGCATGAACACAGACTATATATGATAGTTTCCCATGTTCCTAGAAAGAAAATGGGGAAGAACCCTTCTTACTAGCCATTGGAATTCTAAAGTCCCCTTTCTTATTGCTTCCCCTGAGAAAGAAGAGAAGCTCTACAAAGTAAGATTTTCCTTTTCTGAGTCAGGATTTGAAGAACACTGCTGCTTAGCTTGACGGGGACAAATTTGCGGGGGGGGAAGCAGACAGACTCCTATGGTCTAAATTGGAAGTCGATCCTCTCAACATTGAGGCAGACAACTCCTCTGCTGGTCATCAGATAGGTTTGTCAGAGTTCTTCCTGTTGAAAGGCAGACCGAAAGCTCTTTCTGTTCCTTTTATTTGTTTCTTTGTCTGTGTTTTTGTTTTCCACTTTTCAGCAGACCCACAAACCCTGTCTCAGCTGCCCGCTGTTCAAACTCTGGCAGGTAGGCTAGTCTTAATGTGAGCCATGCACAGACCGAAACATACCAAACCAGCATCAGGAGAGAAATGAGAAGCCAGGAGGACAGTGGGGAAGACCTCATACGTACAATCGCAGCCAATTTCCACTCCACCTGACTTGGGAAAAGCCGCTAATGAAAGTCAGTCTAGCAAGAGACAACCTGTTATATGCTGTGTCCGCGTAGGCAGTTGTCTGAGCAAAACACAAAAGAACTGTAAAGGTAGGTAGATATCTGAACAGGTAAAGGAGGACACAGACAATTGGAAAGGAAAACAAATGGGGGGAAAAGGAGGACACACTAACTTTAACTTTCTTGGCATCTATGACAAAAATGACAGTGAAAAACTGCACAGAACTGTGCTGAGGCCTACATGTATATGAAATTACTTTTTCTAGCATCAGAAAGACTCTTTTTTTTCAATCGCAATATTTTTCCAACGCATCTCTATTTTCAAGAACATATGCTAGCGACGATACAGAATCGACAACGATGTGCTTTTCAAATGTCGCCGTGGAAATGTACGAGTCATGGGATCTACAGACTACGGGCTTGAAGGGGCTGGATTGAAGCTGATTGCTGGAATCAGGAAATAAATAATGTAAATGTAGTCTGTGGACGGCTGAAGGGGAAAAAAGAAGCAAGACCGTGACTACTGTTGTGAAAACAATCCCTAAAATAAACTCCAAGGCATGCAAAAAGCTGGACAATATGTGATTTTAAGGCTATGCCTGCTAGAGGAATGTCCTCCTTTTCCAGGAGACTGGTAATCCTACCTAAAGGGTGAGTTTTGTATGTATGTGTATGTACATGTAAATGATGGTACAGATACATAAATACTCCCCAATAAACGGCTGCTATTTCCCCCCCGGATTGTACTCTTGCAGTTTCCATAGCAAGTCCCAGTTTAAGTAGTTAATGATTCCATATATCAAAATAATTGATTCAGCAGAGTAACTCTGTTCAGCCAGTACAGCCAACGTGATCCTAACTAATGAATTAACACTGAGGAAGAATTTAAATTGATGAACTACGCACAGTTCCGCTGCTGCACGTAATGGGGATTACCTCTGAGTAGACCTGAGCAGGTAAAGGCTTTTGCTACCAGATCCGGGCTGCAAACGCCCGATCCCTGCAAGATGGTACCAAGGTGATGCTTTTTTCTTTTTTTTTTTGCTTTTCTTTTTGCAGTCCAGATCTACCTGCGGGTAGAACAGCTGAGCGGGGTTTACGTCCGAGTAAAAAGGCGCCATTGCTCCTGCGATCGCAAGCCCAACCGCGCTTCGCCCACCGAGTCAATGACCGAGCGAGCCCCGTCTAAGCATGCGCAGCCCGGAGTAAAAATTCCACGGGCCCGACTTAGTATGCAAATACGCTCCGCCTCTCTTCGCTAAATCAGCCAATTAAGCGGCAGGAGGCGTGGCCGGCACGCCGGACTGGTCCGGATACGTGGTAGCTGCGAGAGCCTTTTTTTTTTCGCTTCCGGGAGTGACACGTGCGAAGCCGGCTGGCTGGGTAAGACCGAGTGGGGGGCTGAGTTGCGGGCGGGGGGCTTCGGGAGCCAGAAATCGTTGGATCTGGGGGAACGTGGGGCTGTGGGTGGGCAAAGGGCAGCGCTCGAATAAGGGAGGAGGAAGGACCCTGCCAGGAGAGGCTGAAACTTTATTAGCTCCCCTTTAGCAGCTTCCGGAAAGCCCGCTCGTTCTGCTTCCTAAACCAAGCCATAAGGTGGCTTGGGTGACTTGGGCTTAGTTTCTGTAAAATCCACCCATCGTGGTCTGCAAATCATGGGTTGTGGCCTAGTCTCTTGGGCTTAGGAGATGGCAAACAAAAGAAGTGTTGAAAGGGGAGATCTGGTTAGTACTGGGATGCAAAGGGCTGTAGACTGGACCAGTTTCTCAACCTTGGCAGCTTTAAGAGGGGTGGGCTTCAGTTCCCAGAATTCCCCAGCCTGGAGTTGAAGTCCACCCATCTTAAAGTTGCCAAGCTTGAGATGCACTGGACTAGATTAAAAGTCCAAAACAAGCTGCGGAAGTTAGCAATGGCTAGGCAGTTCTTTGCTGTTGCTGGGAAAACATGGACACCTGGTATCAAGCTGGGCTTGAGGGCATCTTTACCATGTTGTGTGAATCCATAGCTCAGCAAACCATAATTAATGTTTGGCTTAAATCATATGAAAGCTGAGCCACTGTACCTGGTACTCTATGGTTATGGCGGCTTTGGATGTAAACTGAGGGGACAAATATCTACAAGCTATTTCTTATGTCCCTTAAGCTAACACGAAGAGATAACAGTATGGGAAGGGAATGTTTAATAGGTTATTTTGCCAGTACTAAATGCCCCTTGAAATGGAAGGTGGCTATAAATTGCTGTGTAAGTTTTTGGGCCTTAGTGAGTCATGTTGGTTTGTGACTTACTTTGCACTTTGTAGTTGAATTCCTGCTGATAGGTCTCAACAAGCTTTTTATGGAACTAAAACTCGTTTCAAAGCCATACAAGATGTAGGTCTTGAGTGTTAGCAGTTGCTTCTTTTTCCTTTCTAAGACTTTACACACAGTGTTTATCTTGCATTAGAGGCATTTCTCTTAGGAGGTGGCAGTCGTCATCTCCAACAAATTGGGCTTTTTCTATGGAGTTCTCAGAATTATAGAGTGTTTCTCTTGGGAAGTGCATTTATGTTCTTTTCTGGTCTCTCTTTGGAAGCTGGAAAATTATTATTACTATTATTACTCTTGTCACTATAGAGATTTTAGGATCAGCTGGCTAGTTTACTTTTTTTAACTGGGTTTACTTATTTAAAACTGTTGACTACTTGAATAAACCCATTTTCTTGAGTCTCATACTATAGTGAACTATAAGCTAATTAAACAGACTAGGTTTGCACTATATAAACTATACACACATACACAAAATCCAAACTAGCATTAGCAGCTTATGATATTGTGAATCTAACAACTAGGTCATTAACTGAACTGGTTAAATAAGTTGTGTGAACAGTCATGGTTTTCTAATTTTGACATTTGAGTTTCTTTTATAAAGTATCATTTTATTTTTGGTATAGAAGTCACTTTGTAAACACTTCTAATGAAGGATGATCTAGAAACATTTTAAATAAATCTGCAAAAATAAAGCTCTTTTTAAACAAATGGAATGAATATTAAGATAAGCAAGCATCATTAATCATTGATTTTTCTGAATTTGTTTTTCTTTCTGTGTCATCTGTTTTAAATTGGCCTTTTTAGGGTTGTCGAAATACATTGGACTGCAACTCCTATTATCTTAAATCACAATAGCTGGTGGTTTTTATTGGGGTTGATGTAAGTTGTAATTAAACATGTCTGAAGGTCAGTGGGCAGCAGAGGCTATTAGCTAAGTCTGGGAGCAAGGCCTGAGTTCTATAAATGGCAGACAGAACAATAAAAAATGACATCTAAAGAATTGGGCTCAAGTAACCAAACCAGAAATCCCCTATCCCCACCCCAAAATGAAGCCTCCAATAGAAGAGAATCTATGTAGCTCGGGGTTGAACTGTGGAGTCCTTGGTGTTCTCTGAGCTTGGTTGTTTGCTTGCAGACATTTTATTCCCGAACTGGTGCAAATAACTCTGGGGTTTACAAAAAGACCAGAATACATTATCTCTGGCAGCCAACACCCAGATAAGCAGGGATTAACACCAAACAAATAATCAAGCAGAAAGCAATATATTCTAATCAAGGAACTACCAAGGAGAAAACCACCACCACCACCCCACCAAAACTGGCAGGGCAAGGTACGGTATACAAACAAGGAGCAAACCCCACACTTATTTGTACCAATGAAGTTACCTAGGTGGTAATAAAAGCAGACAGCCAAGCTCAGAGAGCACCAAGGACTCCACAATCAAGCTTCCTATAAGTCAAGCTCAATTCCTGACTTCCAGTTTTACTGGCAGCAATGTGAAAGTCATTATCTTTGAGGATATTATTTCAACTTCCAATCTAACCCTGTAGCTCTGGGCTTTTCTGCTTATCTCTTATCCAAGTACAAACCTACTTAGCTTTTTGAGAATTGCCAAGGTCAGCTATCAGGGTAAAAATGACAACATGACATTCTAAAAAGAGGTAATCTTCTGAATCCTGGCAGTGATCTGGTAAGACTAGCTTCTTCAAGAAGGGAGTTTTAGGGATGCTTTGCCATCACAGTTTTTTCCCCTGGTTTCTACCCATTTTGACAGACCCTCCTCATAGCACTGTGCAGCATACCCAATAGAAAAGTTGAATAGTGTCTTTCCATTGGCAGATAAAACACCTTTTTTCTATCCGTCTACTTTCTTATTTTTGGACCAGGGGCTTTTCCCAATTCACATTACTAACTGGATCACATCTCCTTTTGTTAGGATGTCCTCTAGCACTGAATTTGTGTCAGGAGGGATAAGCCCAACAGCAATCCACCAGGTAGGTAGCCTGGGGATGATGAATGTCCAGATTCTCAAATGCCCCCGCACCAGAAGAGATCTGAGTCATACTCTCAATGAACTTTGTTGGGATGACAAAGCCGGCACCCAGAACAAAAAGAAAAGCCGGAGGCACCAACGCTATATGATGCGCAGAGCACTGGAGCAGAATAGAACCCTGGGAGCCAGAACAAAGGAGAAAGGCCTTGTTATGACCATGGATGTCTCTGAAATGGATGGAATGCAGGACTCCTTGTCCCAGGAAAGTAGCAGAAGTAATCAGTTTCTCCAGGAGGGTGTGATGACAACTCAGAAGTATCCTTCCACATTTGGCGAAGCTGCATCCATGGAGCTAGCCAGACAACCATCATCTTCCCAAGGTCTTCAGAACCTGCTAGCCTGCCCCAGCATCTCAACAAAAAGTCCCAGTTCCTTCCTGTGCCTGATGCCCCAGAAGTCTGTGAAGCGTGTGGCCATTGATTGTGAAATGGTAGGCACAGGTCCTTCTGGAAAGATGAGCGAGTTGGCACGCTGTACGGTGGTGAGCTATGACGGTGACGTGATCTATGACAAATACATTCTTCCAGAATCTCCAGTTGTAGATTATAGGACTCGATGGAGTGGCATCACCCAGAAGCACATGAGAAAAGCAACTCCTTTCAGGGTTGCGCAGAGTGAGGTAAGCAAAAAAGATTAACTTAGGAGCAGAAATCAACTGGAATCTGCAATAAAATGCAGAATTCTAGGCAAGTAGCAATACTATTATCCACAATCATCGCACTGTGGAGTTGGAAAGAGTATTTGGGCCCTGTGTCCTGCCCGGGCTTAGTACAGGTATCTAAATTAGAACATCCTTGATTGATGGCTTATAAGCTTTACCTGAACATGAGTGAAGGGGGTTCCATTGTTTTTGGTTGTTTAATTCCACTGTTCTTCATTTCCATCCATCCATCACTTCATTTTCCTTCTGCCTAGTTAATACGTCTCCAAGGAAGCAGTTAGAATTCAGAGACTGGTGTGTTTTCAGTCTTCATTGTCCAGTTTTGTTTAGTTTGTTGGTTGTTTGTTTTTAACCTTTTTACTGCTTCTTAAAGACTATATCCTCCTGCATACCTTGAGGGTCTCTGTTACACTGTTGATTTCTTCTCGTTCTCACTTGTTCTATTTTGGTTCCATTTTTGTTGGCACTCAGCAGCTGAACTGTAGGAAATGATACTTGGTTTAAAAATGTTCCCGAATGTTCCTACAGATTATAATCTTCCACTCGTTTTTGAAAATAAAAATGTCTAGGTTAATTGGAAAAATTCAATTTAAGGGTTTTTATATATATATTTATATATAGAGAGAGCTTTAGCTTGGTTTGTTTGTTTGTTTTAATGACCTACAACTATTTTAAGCAAGCCTCTTTTCTGAACATTCTTCTTGCTGTGGTAGACTAACAGCCCTTTTCATCCTTGTAGATCGTACAGATTTTGAAAGATAAAATAGTTGTGGGCCATGCTCTCCACAACGATTTCCGAGTCTTAAAATATTTTCACCCCCGAGCCTGGATGCGTGATACAAGCCAGTGTCCTCTGCTGAAGAAGAAGATTGCATTAACTCTGAAACCCAGCATGTCTCTCAAGAACCTAGCTAGTCAGCTGCTAGACAAAAAAATTCAGGTAACTTGGCATCTTTCATTTCCTTAGGAGGATTCAAAATTATATCGGAAGAGCCTGAGATCATCGGGTTGCCTTACCTCTGAAAGTTAAGTGCACCCTGTCTTGGGTTATTTTGATGTGAGGTGGTTTTTGTAGTTCAAGGGACATTCCTTGAGATCCTTGAAGACCGTATCCTCAAGTGCCTCTTTGTCCCTAATGGTTTGATACTTATGTGCCTGGGTTGCCCAATCACCCCTTGGGGGTTCAGCAAATGTACATATAAAATCATCTCTTTATCACCCACCAGCTGTATTAGATATTTGGGGGTGTGAGTTACCAAGACTCTTCTTTACTCTCTTTTTTGCTTCTGTCTATTAATTTCCCATTTTGCAGAATCTCTTTTGGATACCCCTGTTCAAAAGTTCTGCTAACTAGCTATTTGGGGAAGATGGCTGGTCCTTGAGGGGAGTCCCGTGTCTCTCCCAACAAAGTAAACATGGATGCTTCTGAATGCTTAGGGAGTGCTCATAGAAGCATGGTGGTTCTCTATTTTTTTTTCCCCAGAGCAGCCAGAATTAGAAAGGCTGGACTCTGTTTTGATGAGGTTTTAGGCATAGCATCTCTTAGAAGTCACTTTACAAAGCAGCTCACGCACACACAACACTTCTAAAAGCAAGGTGGCTTCATTGCTTTGCGCCAAAACCTGATCCCGCAATCAGAGTAGCCAGAAGAAGATTCCAAGTGCGCGCTGCACCTCGACAAAAGGGGACTTGGCGACTGAAACTGATGGATCATGCCTTGGAGCAGTACCGAATGCCTTAATGAGGCCAATGAAGTTGCCTTCATGCTTTGATTGTCTTGATTTTGTTATTGCTTTAATATGCAGAATTAAACCAAAAAAGACATGAAAAAGGAAGAAAAAAAGAGACAATTTCTTTTTTGACACAGTTCTAAAACACATAGAAAATAGGCCAGTTTATAAATGCAACGTTAAACCTTGGGCACACAAAATAACATTGATCAGTTTTTGGCCTGTAGAGAAATCATTCATAAGCAGAGAGCAAAGACGTACCAATCCAAGACTATACATCTGGGGTGACACTGTCTTTCCATTGTCTCTACTGCTTGATGAAACCAAATGCATGACTTTCATGTTATGAAGTGCATTTCAGAGGTGGATCATGGCTTTCTTGCACCTCTGTTAATAGTTGCATAAAAGTTGCCTTTGAATATGCAATTTTACTGATGGGGAATCTGGCCATAGGTCAAAGGTAGAACACTAGCTTTGCATACAGAAGGCTTTAGGTTCAATTCCTCCCTCCTCCATTGGGTCTAAGAATTCTGTCTGAAGCCCTGAGATGCATCTTTAAGTCATTACCCACAATAGTGTCTGGACCGATGGCTCAGCTCAGTATGTGATAGGTTGCTCTTTTCCTGTTACAAGAATAGTAGAATTTTGTTCTGTGGAAATTGGCACGGTGTATTTTTAAATAAGCTTGCTTAAGGTTGTATTGCAACAAGTACTGCCATTGGGGGAGAAGTCAACCACTTGAGAACTAGAATCTTACATATAGTATTCTGTGGGATTTTTGTCTTTCAGGTTGGCAAACGTGGGCATTCATCTGTTGAGGATGCTCAGGCTTCTATGGAGCTTTACAGATTGGTGGAGTTTCAGTGGGAGAAACTGTTGACTCCAAGCCTTCCCATGGGCCCTTCAGACAGCACTCTGGATGGTAATACTGATAACAGTTGCTACATGGATGATCAATATTGGCCCAAGGACCTTGATATAGACTGCAAATGAAGATTCCGGTTTTAGAAAGCTTGTAAAGAAATTATTCTGTTATTCTGAAGAGAGAGATTGATTAAACATGAGGATTTGTGTTTTCCGGCATCAGTGTGGCAACATTATTTACATTTTTTCCTGAATTGCACATGCCAAAGAAAACCTTGACCCTAAATAAGCTTTTTAAGTTTTGAGCCTTGGAGTTTTGAGCCTAAAGAACCTCCAGCCTTAAGCTTTTGAATTTTGAACTAAAGAAGTTGGCAACTTGTGCCCTGTAGACACAAAAGCCTACAAATCTGTCCACAAAAGCCATCTCCTTCTGAGAAAGCATTCCTCTCAATTTTTTTTTTTTTTGTAGTTGAATGAATGACCTGTGAGTAAACTGCTGAATCAGCCTAGACCTGGGGGGAAGACGGGGGGGGAGCCTTTTTAAACTGATTGGATGTCCTCACTCCAGGCCTAATTGTGGATTTACTGTCTGATTATAATGCTGGGTGAAATCTGAGGTGGTGTGTGTCCAATCTTAATGCTGTGGAGCTGTGTAGATAGCTACTCTGTGTGTGGGTGTGCTTGCATGCATGATAACGCTCCAGTTGATTTATGTAGTAGTTTTTTCTTCTGCATGAACCACCTAGGAATGCGTTCACATCCTGAAATGTAACCAGAACCAATGGATCACGGTTACATTTAATAACAATTCCTGCAGTGATAATAGCTGCAAAAACTTGCTCGTATGCATAACTGTGTTAGTGATTGGCTGATCTGCATATTTGGAAAGTTCCCCTGTTTGCGTGTATATCCAAAGGGAGTTTGGGACCACTTATGCATCTGCATTTGGTATCTTTCCGCAGCAAACGAATACTGCCTGGAGTAGTAGAACTCTCTCCAAAGTGAGTTGTGTCAATTTCCACCTGAAGGATTATGATACCAAACACAAAAAGGAAAACACAACACATGTATAAAGCTAAACCTAGGCTGTCCAGAGTGTTAAACAGAGGACTTATAGCCTAGGAATTAGCCATCACTTTCAAAACAAGCATGAATTAAGCACTGAACATGAAAGGTGCTTCTCTTGTGCGATCATGCTGTTCTTCCATCTGGAATCTAAAGCTAGTTCAGAGCCATCTTCACTGCTTTGACTGTTGGTCATGACGTGGTGTTCAAATGGGGAAAGTTTACCCAGAATTCTGTTGTGCTGTCATCTGATTGGGTCAGGGTTCTCTTCTTAAATAGAGATGGGGAACCTGTGCTATGCATCAGGATTACAGTTCCCAGCATCCTACATCTTTAGCAAATACTGCCTGGAGTTTCTGGGAGTGGTAATTCATTTGGAGGGCTGGGTGTATGTAGGCGTGTGTATTTTCCTAGTGTGCTTCACCTACCTGAAGCTGGATTGGTAACTAATACTAAACTAAATTTCTTTCATGTGCCCACATGCCTTTAAATTAAATTGCACTGTAGCGACTGATGGCTTTTTCACATAAACCGCGTATGCATCAGACCGTTCTCAGAGCAAAACTACTGGCTGCATTGAGTTTTGAGTGGGGCAGGGAAGAAACACGATTTCTTGAGAGAATGCCATTATTTCACAGTGTACTCCATGGGGAATATTTCTTTGCATTCTGTCCCAGATTTCCCACCCTTCATGTTTACTTCAAATGTTGGCATGAGAGGAGGATTAACACTGCTCTAACTCCCTGATTTTTTTTTTAAGGCTTCATCTTGACGTGTTGAGTTGAATGTCTTCTTCCTTATCTATGCATCGTTTTATGCATGAAGTAATCACCCACAGGCTTCTCCCAGCTGGAGTCTGAAATGATGGAGTCCACAAACAGGCTTGCTTCCTTACCTTCAGTTTGTGTAAACTAAAGCCAGGCCCTACTTCATGGGTGGGGAGGTTCAGGGGTCTCCCTAATGTTCTCTGAATTCCCAGCTCCCAGGACAAGCATTGAGAGATGTCTAGAACTATAGTCCAAAAATACCAGAAGATCCACAGGTTTCCAACTCCTGACTTGGTCAGGAAAATGCTTTTACTAATATTAAACATTGCATATTTTATTCATATATATTTATGTTTGCAGCCAGCTTGACAATACAGTGTCTTCCTTGCTGGAAAAAAAGAAAAAAATAGCCTCCAGCAAGTTAACACTTTAAAAACAAACCAAGATGGCAGGAAATCTTTCCTGTGTCTCCTCAAGTAGGTCTTGTTTTTGGTTTTTCCCTTTCCAGCCTTTCTCTAGCAGCATTGTACAAATATTGATAGCCTTCCTTAGAGTAAACCGCTCATTGGAGCAAGACACACAGAGATGTCTTGTTGAAATGTCAGCAAGAAGCTTCATCATTCTAAAGATGTGGTTCATTTAATTACTAGCTTTCCAGTAAAAAAAAAAAAAAAAAAGCTTTGTACTGTTCACAAAATGCACTCTTCCTCCCCCGACTTTCTAGTGCTCTGTCTGAGAACCAGGATATTCAGCTCTTCCATGTGTAACTGCAGCAGTCTGAGAGATTTAGCAGTTCATCAAGTCCATGGGGTGATAATAAAGAAGCATCTCAAAACCACTATGAGCTTTACTCCTCAAATCTCAAGTAGTTCCAAGCTGACCTGTGGTCACCTTCATTATTGCCAACCTCAGAACACAAAATGGTACAAAAGTTTTGTAAGTTCTCCTTCCTACTGATCAAAGGCGTGCACAAAAATACTGAACCAGTGTTCTTCTGTGTAACAACTGCAGTACTCAGTTCCCAATGAAAGCAACTGTCATTAAAACCAAGGCAGGTTCAAAGGAAAGTTCATTTATTGGAAAGTAGTGCTCAGCTCTAGAGCATAGCTGGAACTGAGTCCCACATGTGCCAAAACTTAGTTGTACCTCATTCTTGTTTCATCCCCCACCCCTTCTGTCTTTGAGTCTCTCGTGCACATGTCAAAGATTCTCTCCAGTTCTCACATTGGTACGACCTTGGGCATTCCTGAGAGCCAGATAATAGTCCATCTGCACCTAACGGCTAACCTTCCAACCTTCCCCCCCTTCCTCCCCATCACTGTAATGGCAGAAACGAAGCAAACAGACTAGCAATCCAACTGATTGATTGCGAGGATTCTGACATCCTATCCCTCAACTTTCTTAATTCATGATGAGTGGTCATTAAGTGAAAAAGTAATATCCCTGTACTTCAAAGTGCCTGGAAAAATGTGATTGGGAAGTTAAGATGGCTTAAACTCTGTGGGGAGAGGGCAGAGTCTAGGGGGCAGGATGAAATGGGTTCTCACCACTAGGCAAACACCCTCCCCTCACCCCAACATTGCGGAGCTCCAGCAGTTTGAATTGCAGATGCAGTTCACTGGCTCTGGAGGTGTTGCATCTAAACTGACAAAAATGGGCTCAGTTTCAGAACAATGTGGGATTACTGAGGTCTTGATTCAGGAGTGATGCGAGGACTGGGCATGGAAGTGATCTGGTCCCATCATTGCTGAAGTCCAGTCCAATTTTGCAATCCTTAAAAGAAGTAATACATTCTGAATTATGATTTTGAAAGGTGACGTTGATACTCAGCTGCACATACTTTTTCATCTGTTTAAGGGAAGGTGAATGATGTCTTTGTTAAATAGATGTGGAGAGTCCTGCAAGGTGAGCTATCGAACGTGGGTTGGATTTGTGCGATACAGATGATTCTCCCAGCTGCAAAGAAGCTACCACATTTTTGTTGCTGTTGTTGTTTAGCATGGTGTGTATATTCCACCTCGTTCAATAACGGCTCAAGGAGTCAGGCAAACTCAGAAACTGACTGCCCCGCTGGGTTTGTGTCAAAGGATGACTTTGAACATATCAGTAATAAATAATGTTTTGCATCTAGTTGTCTGCTGGGTCTTCATTGCTATCAGTGTGCTGACTTTGATGGGGGGGAGTACCTGTGAATGTCAAGTGCTGGTGCAGAATATTAAATACCTGCCAGTTTTACATGTCAGGAGAAAGATTTGCCATGAAAATTTGAAGAGGCTTCACTGGGAGACCTATTCATGCCAGTTCCTGCAGCTGTTCTCCCACAGGTATGAAGAAAAGTTTCCTTTGTTTGGGCAAGAACCTCTTTTCCTACTGTTACACTGCTATGATGTGAAAGGCTTCACTCTGCCATGTGGCATAACTGAGGGAAATATCAGTCCACGTTTGCTAAACAGAAAATGAGGCCACCAATTTTGACACCTGTGTAGATGTACATTCTCATCACGCCATTCTGCAAACTGCAGCAAAGTAGGCAGAAGAAATCAAGGAACGCAATAGGAGAAGGAAATACAGCAAGTCTAATTTACACCAACACCCTTCACTCTCCCTCATCATAACTTCCAGTCCTTGCAAACCATTCGTGCTTCTATTACATTCTTCCATGCTTCATATGTTGCTTTTAGTTCTTAAAACTTCACTCTTGCCTATTTTTGAGGATCGCATCAGCTCCATCCTGTCATGCCTTCCTGACCTTTGACTTGATCCCTTCACTCTTCTAGCCTTGTTTTGCAATTTGATTCTCTTTTATTCCCCCTGTACAAACCACCACAAAGCTCTTCTTTTGTACTGGCCACTCACTATATTCAATCTAGATTCATTCAGCATGCATTCATTCTTGACCCTCTTGTTTTATCACACACACTTAGGTGCTCTATTCCTACTGCAGTCAACTTACTTTTATGTTTCTTCCCATGTACCCAACTTTCACTTCTTTATAACAAGACGAACAGAAGCACACTCCATTTTCCTATCTTTAGTAAGCATTTACTAAGATACACAAATTCATCTCTTTGCTCTAAATTTTCTTCATTTATGTATAACTTGCAATCATTTGCTCATTTCCCTGTCAAATGTAGCTATCTGTGCCTTTGATATGTTAATTTTTAGGTCCATACTCCTTGTTGTATCACAGAATCTAACATTTGCTTCAAAGCATTTCGATTCTCAGTCAACATTAGGACAGCAGGGAAGCTTGGGTGGCACTTGACAGGCAAGGCAGAACACATATGTCGCTGTCTTTCAACAGAGGAAAATGGAGGAAGCACAGAAGCAATACTCAGGGAGCTCATCTGGCATTCGTGGTTTGAAGTGGCCACTTCACT